CATTTTAATATATAATATAGTATTTTTTACTTTTATATTATAATTAATCTTATTATTCTCACCTCTATTTGTTAATTCTTAATCCATGCGACAAATGATAATAAATAATTTTTAAAATTTTTAATTCATACAATGCACAATAATAAATAATTTTTATATTTAAAATTTTAAATCGATTGGGCCGAGCTGAGCTTCGACGTCGGCAATTGAGGACCACCGAATCCATTACACTGCACGGTTGGTGTCTTTTAGTCGACGCATTTAGAATATGACGTGTACTCTCTCTCTCTCTCTCTCTCTCTCTCTCCCTATTGTGTGTGTAGTTGAGAGAAGACACAAATTCTGTGACCTATTAGCTGGATGCCATGCATTTCTTCGGCCTGGTGGGGTCCATTAAAATTGGCCCAAAGTACCAAATGTGTCCAAAAAGACAGCACAGACATTATATGTGAAACCACATCCAAAAATACTTATTATTATTGTTTTTTTAAGGATTGAAATCCTTTTTAAAAAAATCATAAATTAAATATATATAATTTGTTAATTATCATAAACACTCCAGTTTCAAATTAGTATTTCGTATACATACATATTTTGTTAACTTTCTATCCTTATAAACGTGTTCTTGGCTCCGTTTGGCAAGAAGATTTGGAACTATTTTAGTCACAAAAGACAAAATAAACTATTTTAGCCACAACAAATAAAACATCACATCTAACTCATAATCATTATATTCTTCTCTCACAAAAAAATCAAAAAAAGTCAAAAAATCCTTCCCAAACCAAGCTTTTTAACCCAGGCTAAAATAGCCAAAAAGTCACAAAACTAATCCACTTCCCAAACGGAGGCCTTATACGGTAATAAAACTAATTTTAAATAATTTTCTAAACATTTGTTGTTCAAAAAATGATGACTTTTTGTTTAATATTCTAGTAGGTGGATTTTAGTTTGGGCCGTGACAGGTTTTACAGTGGGCTTTCCCCCATGATCAAAGCCCATGGTTGACCGCATTTTAGATGTGTGAATGAATAGACCTCAAAACACAACACAATACAACGGTTCAACATATTTGTAATTTACATTGTCAGTCCAGAAGTCTTTCATAATCTATTTTGGCCCAAAACATTTTGGGCTTAATGGTTCTTCTTCCTCACATGATTATATATATGTATAACTCAAAAGCAGATTGGTCTGATGGATTCATCATTCATGTATGCAATATGGTTAATGGATCTATTTAATGTAACTTTTTTTCAAATTAAAAATTAATAATCAAAAAATAAAAGTTAAAAACACTCGTAACATATTGTCCAAATAATCAATTTTTAAAAACTTTTTAAAATTATTTTATCTAAGTTTTAAACAGAAATTGCATTAAACACTAACCTAAATAGTTTGTATGATTGTTTGTTTTTGAAAGTCTCATTTGAGAATAAATTATTTTAGTAATTTTTTAAATTTTTAATAAAAAATATACAAAAAAATAAAAAAAATAATATAATAATTTATAATAATTTTTTAACTTTACAACTAAAATATATAATTGTCAAATGACACCTCGTAAAAACACAATATGAGCATGTTAGAAATCTCTTTTTAACTTTGTCCCATCATCATCATGTGACATACTCTGTCTATCATTTGAAGGGAAATTTTAATATACATCACTTTAAAAACAGTGTATTAAACTCTTAATTATATTTATTTTTTAATTATAATTATTTTTAATTATAATATTATTTTGGTTATAACTCATGAGTTCTTTAATTATATCTCATATTATATTTAATTATGACTTAAAAAATTAAAAAGTAATGGTAAAAATTTCAAATATTTTACTAGCATTAGCATCTTTACCAAAGGTTTCGCATGGGTGTGAGACCCATATAGTGTGAGTCTCACAACTATATGACCCGTTTGTTTTGGGGTGTAATGGATGAGAGGGGATTAGGATGGATGTGAGGTTATTTAGCCTCCGTTTGGGAACTGGGTTAACTTTTTGGCTTTTTTGTGAGAGAATAGTGTAATGATTATGAGTTGGATGTGATGTTTTGTTTGTTGTGGCTAAAATAGTCTATTTTGCCTTTTGTGTATATGTTTGTTTGTAGAGTTGGGGAAGTGATTAGGATGGAGGAGGAGATTAAGATGGAGGTTGGAAGAGGGATTGAGATAGAGAATGTGGAGATAGTATTAGAAAAATAGTGAGGGGATTGAAATTTTTTTTATTTTTTACATATTGAGAATTTTTTTTAAACATTAATTTTAATTTTTTATATTTTTTTTATTTATTTTATTATTTTATATAAAAAATAATAATTCCTACACTAACAACTATCATCAAAACAAACACAATTTTACTTAATTCCCTCACTATTAATCCCCTCTATTATATCTTTAAAAACAAACGGAACTTATGAGACATTTGATAGAAATATTGATAAAATTGAGATTCTTAACATTTTTCAACATTAAAATTATATATTTTTTTTATTAGAAGGTACATAGGATACATATAAAAAATCTCCATCATAGTTATTTCCTTCACGTCACTTTCATTGGCTGATTGAAAACAATTATTGATCAAATCTTTCCACCAAACAAACAAATGCAAAAAGCACATAACCACGCTTGGATAAAATGGGAAATGCACAAATCAGCAAATAGCATCTTTAACCCCCAAAACAAAATATGGGTTGGTTGAGAAAGTTGGTTGGCTTTTTAATTTTTTGAGTTTTTTAGTTATTTTAGTTTGGGTTAAAAAGTTTAGTTTGGGAAGAATTTTTTGATTTTTTGACTTTTTTTGCGAGAGAAGAGTGTAATGATTATGGGTTGGATGTGATGTTTTGTTTGTTGTGGTTAAAATAGTCTATTTTGTCTTGCAACAATGATTTAGACCACTAAAAAATACACCACTAATAGCACTAATGCATTGGGAATGGTAAAAAAAAAAAAGAAAAAAAAAGAACAAGGCATAGAAAGTGGACACTGCCACATCATTAGTGCTCCTTCTAGTGCTCCCTTTTAGTGCTCCCAAACATTTTTCTTTGTCTTTTGTGGCTAAAATAGCCAAAAAAACCCACAAAACCACTTCTCAATATTTAATCTATACCCATTTCTTTCAACTCTCCATTTCTCAAGAACATAGGAAGCATAGATGCGGATACGAGATACAGATGCGACATGATACGAATACAGTGATACGACAAAACTTAAAAAAATAGGATACCGGTACTGTCACGACCCAAACTCGCCCCGAGAAGGTTGGCATCGAGACCGGCCAGTAATCCTAGATTACCACAGGCCTTGCTATACAAAACATAAAAAAAAAGGGGCTCACGGAAGCGAAAACAAAACACTAATAGTCCAAAGAGCTGTGCATTTATATGAACATACATTACATGCCAAAAATGTTAATTTACCCACTACATTACATCACATATAATCAAAATTCATACTCCTTACGGTGCCTACTCCAAGGTCGATGGAAAATTTCATGGCTAGATGGTATGTAGAGGTGACAGCTTGAAAAGCGTTAAGAGCTGTGCGTCTGATGAAATAAGTCCCCCGCTCGAGCGCCACTTTGTCCGCTCGAGCGGACTGCACAATTTTTCAAAACTGCTGGGAGGCCAATTTTCACGCTCGAGCGAAAATCCCTCCGCTCGAGCGGACCATGCAAAATCTGAAATTCTGAAATCTTCCAAAGCTTGGATCTTTCCTTTTTGCAAAACCACTTCAACATTTATGAAATCCAAGTCTCAAAACACTTGAAACACAACTTGAATTAAACATTATAGCTTCTAAACAAACCCAAATGCATCATATACAAAATCCAACCTTGATTGAAGATGAAAAATCATAAAACATGTTCATAAAAGCTTCATTCTTAAATCCATGGAGGTTCTTCCTTAAAATATGACAAATACAACCATAAATCATCTATTCATGCCATGCATGCTCAAATTAAACATATTTCCCCTTTCAATCCTCTTATTTACCACGAGATCATTGATGTAACAACCTTATTTCAGGAAATTAGAGGGGAATCCTTACCTTAATCACTTAATTGTAGAAGATTTAGCTTGACTCTCTCTTTCCTCCTCTTCTTCCCCTTTCTCACGAATTCTCTCTCTCTCTCATTTCCAGATTTTTTTCTTCTCTTTTGCTTTTGAGTCAAAGAGTCAATAAAGGCCCTTATACTTATCTATATATCATTTATAAACAATTGTACCAAACTTTGAGCCAAACATGGTGTCACGACCCAAACCTGCCCCGAGGAGGTTGGCATCGTAACCGGCCAGTAATTCTGGATTACCACAGGCCTTTCTGTACAAAACATATATAAGCGGGGCTTGCGAAAGCGAAAACAAAACACTAATAGTCCAAAGAGCTGTGCATTTATATGAACATACATTACATGCCAAAAATGTGGTGTTTTCTGAACCCATTACGGTCATCAATTTCAGTCCCAAAGTTCTCATCTCAACAGATATTCTTCTAATTCAAACAGATATTCTTCAATTAATTCGCATAAACACATAATTAATTACTGATAAATATGACACATGTTTTGGGGTCATTACATTCTCCCCACCTTAAGAAGTTTGGTCCTCCAAACTTTACTTATCCTGGTGCAGTCTCAGTCGGAAGCAACTCGACGGTTCTATTCAGTTATCCAGCATGATAAGGTAGTTCGTATGTCTATTCCATAACAATGAAGGCAGTATCATAGCAGTCAAACACGTAATGAGCATATCTTACACATAAGACTGAAGTCAACTATCAACTATCAAGTTCCACAGTGTTTAATCCGACGGTAGTGATATAAATATAATCATTCCATAAACATCTAATAGCAAAGGTAATAGCAAAGGTAAATTTGTTTCGTCATAGTCTTTCCAGCGCATAGGTAACGTTGCTAACATCACAATAGATAATAAAATCATACCTGTATTCGCTTTTCCAGTATTCTGTGTCTTTTCTGAAACTAGGGTAAAAACCCTTCATTGCCTCAATGTATTCCCCTCCGGAGCAGATGTTACGGTTGTCTTTGGTGTCATTATTGAGTTAACTCCACTAGCAATGGGTCTTTCATTTCTTGAGTAAACTTGTGGACAAGCTTTAGCTATATGTCCTGGTTGTCCACATTTGAAACAGACTCCAGTTCCACGGCGACAAATACCCCAATGTTGCTTTCCACACTCCCTACAAGTAGGTACACCTACACTGCCACCATTTTCCCTTTTTGTGTTGTCACTAAACTTTGAAGTCAAATTTTCGTTCACGGAGCCCATGGATTCACTAACTGTTTCTACTTTCTGTTTCTTGAATTTCTTACTTTCTGCTTCGGTCATTGCTGTTGGCTTGCACATTTTCAAGTTAGCAATATTTGTTTCAGCCATCAAGGCCCTGTCAAGTACGTCAACATATTTTTCTAATTTCAACACATTCACCCGGTCAAGTACCTCAACATGTAAGCCACCCTCAAATTTCCTTGCCTTCTTGTAATCTGTATCAACCATATGAGGAGCATAACGGGCTAATTCAGTAAATTTACTTTCATATTCCGCTACTGACATAGTGCCTTGCTTCAACTGTTCAAATTCGGATACTTTTCTATCTCACATGCATTGTGGAAAGTATTTTTCATAAAATTTTTCTTTGAATCGATCCCATGTTAAGTCCCTATTCTCACCTCGTACGAGCATCCACCATCTTCGAGCTTCTTCTGTCAGAGTAAATGTTGCTAACAAAACTTTATAGACATTTGTACACGGAAACACTTCAAAAATCTTTTCGGTTTCTAATACCCATGCCTCCGCTTTTAATGGTTCAATTCCCCCTGCAAATTCTGGTGGTTTCAGTTTCTTGTATTTCTGTGTTAAGGTGATAACATCATCATTATTAATCGGTTCCATTTGCACAGGTGGTGGTGGAGGAGGTAGAAATGGTTGTCTCTGTTGTTGTTGGTTTTGCTCTTGCTATTGTCTTACCAACCCAGTTAAAGCTTCCACCATTCTTTCTAACCGATCTATTCTGGCACTAGAAGATTCTGACTCATCTACATTCCTTGCATTAGTGTTCTCCATTGGCCTCTAGTACCCATAGCAGATAGAATATTTCATTTCTCTTTCAAACACACACACACATGCACACATGTATGCCATGCTCTATTTCTTTTCTATGACACCCTACAGCTCTGATGGACACGTGTGTGGGTAAATTAACTCGTGCGCTCTGATACCACTCTGTCACGCCCCAAACTCGCCCCTAGAAATTTGGCAACGAGACCGGCCAGTAATCCTAGATTACCACAGGCCTTGCTATACAAAACATAAATAAAAGGGGCTCGCGGAAGCGAAAACAATAACCACTAATAGTCCAAAGAGCTGTGCATTTATATGAACATACATTACATGCCAAAAAAATGTTAATTTACCCACTACATTACATCACATATAATCAAAATTCATATACAAGACATAGGCTCACGCCTCATGTACAACCAAAACCAAGCTTCCTAACGGCCTTCTGGGCCTAGCCCCAACTCGGAGGCACCAAAACACCGGGTAGGCTTCAAAACGGCGGCTCAGCTCGGACTCCGCCTAGGCTTGACTCCCAGAGTGCTCACCTATAATTACATATATACAAACAATGAGCTAAAGCTCAGCAAGTAACATTAAAGTAAAGGGGTAGTGAACGAATTTTTGCACTAAAACACATAGCATTACACCTTACCTCGACTTTGAGAGACATTGAGGGTTTGTTCTTGAGGTTTTGGGCTGATTTTGGTCAGAAAAGAGTGGTTGGGCCTGCTGTTCTTGAAGTGTTCTTCAAGGGTAACACTTTTGCTTTATTTTTCCCAATCTTGCATTAGCTTTTGACCTGTCTTGCATGCTGATTTAAGCTTTGTGTATAACATAAAAAAGTTCTATTTTTTTGTGTTTAAGATAGTTCATTAAGGTCACTTTTGTGTTTGGGGTCGTTTGACCCCTCTTAAGGCTTGTTTGGCCTTTGTTTTGTGCCATTTTGGTTGAGCTCCGGGACCATTGTGTTTGGGCCTCTTCACCAGGATTTCAGAGGTGAGGATGGTGCCTTGAGGTCCTAGGAAGGAGAGGGCCACCCCCTCTCCTTGTTGTCCTTGAAAATGGCTATTTTTGCCTCTTGAGGGAGCATCTAGTTTAAGTGTGTGTTGATCATGCCTTAACTGATATTTATGCTTATTTTGCCATGACATAGCATTGTGTTGAGTTGGTTTGGACACACCTTGCATGCTTTGCATACATGTCTTGTAATGCCATCATTTAGCCTTAACATGCATCTAGGCTTTGACCCTTGTTCAAGCATGTTTTAGGCCCTGCTTTGTGAAGCTTTTGTTTTTGTTTTTCCATACTTAAGGTCTGCCTTTAGTTGTTTTGGTCGACCATGGCATGCATTGCATAGCCCTTTTACATTGTTTAGTTTGTAGGCTTTAAATGTGTGAAGTATTGAGCATGCATTGTTTGATTTATTTCAGTGGTTTGACACCACTTATAGCATCATTCCAGTCCTCATGACATGCTTGCATGCTTGCCTTTGATGCCTCTTTGATGCCTTATGAGGTTGTGCCTTATGCTCCATGTTTGGTCATTGTGCATGCCCTTGAATTTAAGTCATTTAGATGCCATCTAAGTGGCCTTTAGGCTTTGTTTTAATATGCTAAAACTCTGTTTTTGGTCATTTAATTCATGTCATGTTTGGTTTTGCTAAGGGTAGTTCAATACCTCCTTAGCTTGCCTTGAGTTTTGGACCTCTGATTGCATGCTTATACTTGTCTTGTTGGCTTGGTTTGGCACCATTTTAACATGATTTTCAGAGCTTATGTTGCATGTCATTAGTCCATGTTTTTGTGCTTACAAGTTGTCTTCATATGCTTAAGTGTTGGACCATATTTGCATGCATGCGTGTGTGTGTGTTGGACCTCACTTCCATAGTATTGGCCACTGATTTTGGCAAGCTTGCAAGCTACCCATGTTAGTTTAAGCCCACCCCTTTGCATGTTGCTGTATGCCCACCTTGTATGTTGTTGCATATTTGTGTGTTGTTGCATGATTGGAGTTGCATGATTGAATGAAGTCACATGCTTGCTTGCATGCTCGAACATCTACATTGTGCCTTGCATACTTGTTAGTTGCATTGTCTCATGCCCTATGTCTTGCATGACCATTGTATGCCTTGTATGCTTCTTAGCATTGTCCATGTTGCATACTAGTCGACATGCTTAGGATTGTATTGCATTGGCATGCATGCTTCGCTTCTTGAATTGCTTGTGATAGAGGTTGAGTTCAATTTGCTTGATTATGTGCATTGCATTCTATATCAACATGCACACTTGATTCTTTGGGCCATCATGCATGGAAATGCGTGATTGGTGGCCCGAGAATCGAGGCCCATCCTCTTTTGAGTCATAAATATGATAAGGAGTGTGGTTGGTACATACGTTGCTTGAAATGCATTACCATGCCAAGTTCTATCCTCTACTGCTGTCAAACCAGTTTTTGCAGGAAGATTTGGCCGGCCGGCCATCTTAAGTGCCGACCGGCCATCCATAAGTGGCCGATGGATTGATTTATGGTCGATGACCATTCCCCATGGCCGATGACTATTCCTCACGGCCGGTGGTGCTCCACAGCACTCAGAGAAGCAATCCTGGGACTTGTGCAGTCTTCAGAGAAGCAGAACAGTCAAAGCAGAGGCAGCTTGTGCATGGCAGTGACTTCCGAGCGGAATCGAGCACGCATCGCATTGGACCCTCTTCCCGAGGCTGTTTGTTGCTTAAATTAGATTAATTAATTTGCTTAATTAATTAGGTGGTCTGTAATATTTAATTAGCTTGTTAGTTAGTTAAATTGTATTATTCTTTCGGTCCCTCCGAGTGAGGGCTAACTTGTAATAAGTGTGGGTGCGTGTGTGCATGTCTTCCAACCCCTACTTCTTTCTCCCTTTTACTTATCTGCTTTTGATGGTTAGTATTAGGTCATATTTGATTTAGCATACCTTATGCTATGCATGCGTGCATCCATACATTTGTCTTGCATGCACCGGGCTCGGCGCATCATACTAACTGCATTGTATTTCAATTTCAAGTTGAATACGTGTTAGTTGTAGCATCATCATATGTCATCCATAGATTAGCCGAGCCTATTGTAGCTGCATCTTGCATTTGTTGCATTAGCCATCTTAACATGAACTAGGATCATGCATATAATTACTAACTAGTTTATGTTTTGGCTTGGAGTACTCAGTGAGCATTTATGTTTTAGCATCCTTGCATGCGTGTGAATGTTGCCATGACAGCATGCTTACCATGAGGCTACTTGCTTATGTTATATAACTGCTTGAATGTCTGTGGGTGGAGGTTGAATTACCTAAATTGGAATAATGTATTAAAACTGTGAGTTTTAAACCCACTAGATAGTGGCAAAATTATCTTTTCTAAAGCCCACTTAAGGATGACAAAACTTGCATTTTAGCCTACTTGCGAGTAGCAAACCATTTTCAAAACAAACATACAATGTTTTGTTCCAATTTAGGCGATTTGGTCTATACTTGTTTGATGTGCGCATAACATAGTAATTCTAAGCTAATAATCATAATAGGAACTCATAATGCTTTCAAAACAAGATATCACGGTTAGTAGAAGCCGATCTTTGATCGGGCGAGAGGGGGTGCTCATAGCTGACCTTCCCCAATCGTACCCAAGTTCCCGAGCCGAAGCAACTTTGGTGATGACGGACACGTGGCCTTTGGCACCAAGTCAGGGTTTCCTAAATTTCCCAAAATAAAATATTTAGGTGGCGACTCTGTATCTGGCAAAGCAATCCATGTTTGGCACTTCTTTTCTACAAATCTGTTTTCCAAAACGATTTGTCGGATTTGGACTCTTTGGTTCAGATTAAAAACCGTGACAATTTGAGAGTCCTGAATTGTAACGAGCCCAAAACGAACAGAACGGGACTCGTCCTCCCGGAGCGTTCGGGAACGTCTACAGTAAGTTACACATAATTTAAAGAACGTTGAGAAACTACAATATAATTTTATAATGCAAAATACTAACATTTAAGAATTTTGTATTAATTTAAACCAGTAGCTTGTTTACTTTTTAAATTTTTAACAAGTCTTGCAAATATTTCATTTCAATATCAAGTTTAATATATTTATATTACAATAATAGAACAATTCACAACTTGTTCCTATACTTTTTCCTTTGACACTAGTGAAAAATATTGTATTCAAGTTTACTTGCTTATTTATTTATTGAGATTTAACTTTACCATTGTTATATTCTCTTGTTAATTCTTACTTTTTATGTAATTATGGGTGACATGTATGAAATAATTAAGATACATCAATTTGATAAATTCTATTATTTAACTCACTATTTTCTTCTTATCCAAAAACTTCACAAAGTATTAAAAAAATATTTTTATATTTATACTTGCAATTATATTATATTATATTACTGTGCAAGAAATGTTACAATTATAATTTCATAAAATAAGTAAACATGACTTGGAAAATTCGATACTTCAAAATTAAGTATCCGATACTCCAAAATTAATGAAAAAATAATTAAAAAATATCCAATACTTTTAATAAGTATTCGATACGTATCCGCGAATATTCAAGAAGTATCAGTATCCGATACAGATACATCACCCTATTTGAATTATCCGTGCTTCATAGTCAAGAACATAGTAGACAATGATAATTTAAACCAAATATATACACTTAACAAGTTAATGACATTCTTGATCTTTTTTAGTTGCTAATATTAATATATATTATGATGGCTCAATGAGGGAATCAATCAGACAAATATTAATAATTTCTATTCTATTACAAGATTTTGTTTGGCATGATTTAAAAAAATTAAAAAGTCAAAAAATTACAATCCTATTTAAATCGCATCCTTTTATTTAAGTCACATTACTTCTCTAATACATCACTTCAAACTCAACTTATTTTTATTAAAAGTAAAAATATACACTTACTTAAGATTTTTTTTTTTTGGTTGAGTTTCATATTATGAAAATTTTTGCTAGATTGTTAGATTTCAATAATTGTTGTACTCTGATTTGTCCAAATGTAGAATTAAGATTCTCTACAATGATTTTATTGTGATAATCTAACAACCTATATTTAAAATTAAAACAAAACTATGCTTACAATCTGTGATTTTAATATCATTTAACTTCATATTTGTAAATAATGATTGAAATTTTTGCTAGATTGTTAGATTTCAATAATTGTTGTACTCTGATTTGTCCAAATGTAGAATTAAGATTCTCTACAATGATTTTATTGTGATAATCTAACAACCTATATTTAAAATTAAAACAAAACTATGCTTACAATCTGTGATTTTAATATCATTTAAAATCATATTTGTAAGAATAATGCTTGAGATCCCCTTTTGGGGGTCACCCCTCACCCCCCTTTGCCACGTGGCGGGTAGTGATTGGAGGAGCAGGAAAAAAAAGAAAAAGAAAAAGAAAAGATAACCAATGAGAGAGAGAGGAGGTCAAAGGGAGTGGGGGAAAAAAGAAGATGAATCATTGTTGTATTTGTAAATAATGATTGACCCAAAAAAAGCATAAAAATAAGTTACAAACAATTCCCATTACTTTCAACAGCTCATCCATTTCTCAAGAACATAGTAGACAATAATGATAAAATAAAACCAAATTGTGAACATTAAGTGAAAAACAACAAAATTCACTTAAAAAAGATTACAGGAAGATACACTTACAATATTCTTGATCTTCAATTTTTTTTTTTACTAACCCTAAAATACTATATATATATATTAAAAAAAAAAAAAAGAAACTACGCAAAAACAGAGCCACAAGACAAAGCCATCAACAGCACAGCCGCTTGCTCCTCCTCTCCCAACTTCCTCCGCCGCTTCTCCGCCGTGGCCGCCGACCTCTGCACCACCACCTCTCTCCCAAGAGCCAACAGCTTCCTCCTCAGAGAATCTCCCAATTTACCATTATTGCCACTACTACTACTACTTCCACTACCACTACTTCCACTATCACTACTACTATTACCACTACTTGTTCTCTTCGATTTCTTGTCCTCTGTTGAAGCTTTGTTCAGACCCAGAAGTGCTCCCCTCTTCTTCCTGCTTCTGATCCCACAAGCATTGCACAGTGACTGCAAAATACAATAAAAACCCAGATCACATAATCAAAATCAAACCCTAAAATCACTCTCAATCATCATATATGTGTATAGATATGTGGGTAGTGAAGATGATTGAACCTTAGGGCCAGCTGGACCGCCTCTCCAGAGAGGGGTTTTGGTGGTTCCACAATCAGCACAGGTCTTAACCCTATCTAGGGTTTTGCTACTCATGTCTTCTGACTCTGATCCCTGAATCAAACAATCAAATCAAATCAAACTCTATCTATATATATTTATATGTATGTATCAAAGATTACCCGTAATGAAAAATTGGAAACAAGCTTTGGAATCACTTACTTTGTCACTCAGATCCACCATTTGAATGGGCTATTTTGAACTGAAAACGAAAACCCAGATGAAATTGATCGATTGAGTGAGTGATAATGATAGTACACACTCAGTGACTCTGCAATCCCTAAAAACAAATCAAACCCAGATAAGAGCAGACCTATTGAAATCACTAACAGGCCTTTATCAAGCAATGTTAAGACTCAGAAAAAAGCATAGAGATCTGAATTTGAAGCAAAAGAAAGCAAGACCCAGAATAGCAAAACAGAGTAGACTATGAACTTCCCTAAACACAAGCAAATCAGAGAGAGAGAGAGAGAGTTTGCTGAGACTGAAATGCGCAGAGAGAGAGAGAGTGAACCGACAGAGAAGCAGCCGTGGCCGATTATAAGAGAGTAGTCGGGGAAAAACCCTAGCGGCGGGGGAAGTGAAATGACGAGAATGCCCTTTGTTTCACCCGCCAAAAACGAAAAGGGCGCGATTGAAATTGGGTTTTTGGATTTGGGACTGTTTTCGGAAATTAATAAACGTGCAATGATTTGGTTTTGTGTGTTTATAGCTAGGGTTTTTGGCAAGCTGATCTGGACCGTTGATGTGACATCAGTGGTGAAGCATTTTTGTGACACGTGTGTGAGTCCGTTTTTCTTTAGGTAGGGAAAATATTATTAATTGGCCATATCACTTATCAATCATAGTTTATTATTTTTTTTATATTTTTTAATTACTCAATATAAATTTATAAATAAATAATGTTAAGTATCATAAAAATAATTATAAAAGAGTTCCTATCGTTAGATTATATATACAAAAAAAAAAAAAACTACAAACTAACTAAATAATAAAAAATCTTCATAAATCATTTCATAATATTTTTTTATAATCCTTAATATTATTCTTTATAAATTTCATTCTTTTTATCAATTATAATACTATTAAAACATTACATAATAATATTCTAAAACCAACCAATAATTTCTCTATACAGGATGTGTGAGTATGTTAGCCTCCGTTTGGGAAGGGGTTGACTTTTTGGTTTTTTGAATTTTTTGGCTATATGAGCTTGGGGCTCAAAATCCTGGTTTGGGAAGGATTTTTGGACTTTTTGATTTTTTGGTGAGGTGTTATCCTGTAAAATTACCAAACTGCCCTTTTTGGGTTTGGATTTCCCATATTTTGCTTAATTTATTTATTTCTTTCTTTATTTTAATTTTGGGTTTGGATGTGGCGTTTTTTGCTTAATTATTTTTTTTTATTTTTTTTATTTTGGGTTTCGATTTGCCGTATTTTGCTTTTTTTAATTTTTTTTTTTTGGGTTTGGATTTGGTGTATTTTTCGAACATTTTTTTTTTAATTTTGGAAGTGAATTTGGCGTTTTTTGCTTTCATTGTTTTTTTTTTGTTTTAATTTTTTTATTTTGGGTTTGAATTTGGCGTATTTTGCTAAATTTTTTTTATTTTTTTAAATTTATGTTTTTGTCTTTGTTTTTTTCTTTTTACATGAATTAGATCTTTTTCTTTATTTTTATTGGTATAGAAGCACTTGTTTTTGTTATTTATGTGTTTCATTTATTTGTAAATTACGTGACAAATGATGATTTATGTTTTCATGTTTTTTTTCATTTTTTTTTAAATTTACGATTTTGTCATTTTCTTATTCAATCACATTAACTTTTTATTTTACATTTTAAAAAAATGGATTAAGCATTTCCGATCTTGTGAATTTTGATTTTTCAGAGTGCGACACGTCACCAACTGGAAGGGGGTATATCCCCGTGTAAACACATACATATTGTACATGATAATATATTTCAATACAGTCTGTTCCACGTGTGTCATTAGTAATGTTACAACCCTACGGAAATTAGGTCAACTATTATATATTTCCTAACATTCCGTTATTACGCATGTAACATAATTTGTCGCGTATGTGAAAGCGCACCAATGCCATATGTGGATGCTCATCCCCAACCATTAAGCCATCCTCGTCATGTTCAACTTCTGGTATGGCATTTACTATTGTCATAGCCTCTTTCTCGTCATAGATTGGGTGAACAGTTGTTGGGTTACCTGTGTTGCGCCGTATATAATTATGTGATGTCATTGACGCACCTACTAACTGAACTTGCACATTTGCAAAGTCATACCGAGGCATGTCTCGAATAAACCCCCATCGATTTTTCCAGGCACCGAAGGTGCGTTCCACCACACTTCGTAAGGATGAGTGCACTTTGTTAAATAATTCCCTTGGCATGTTTGTCGTCCTATTCCGTGCAATACGTCGAAATTCTTGTTGGTGGTAACGATGGCCTTTGAATGGTGCTAAGTACCCTGTCCGGTTTGGATAACCAGAATCGACAAGATAATATTTACCTGCAGACATGACAACAATGTATGACACCTAAAATTTGTACAGAGAACCCCCTAAATCCACAAACATCGGCATGTGTTACCTTCGTCAGGATGTGGGAATGGGACATTGTCATTAGTTAGTATCTCGTTGAATATGCGACTATCATGCATATTTCATTCCCATCCGCACGAAATGAATATGAAACACATGTCAAAATCGACTGCGGCTATGATATTTTGCATGTGACAGTATTTCCTACCGAAATATGTTGCTGCATCTGGCCCCGTAACCCATGCACTTACATGTGTTCCGTCTATTGCGCCAATGCAGTCCTGCAAACAACCCAATTCTTTTGTTGCTTAAAAAATAATACGATGTTTTGTTTTTTCCATACGTTACGTCCAATTAGTAATAAAAACAAAATAACAGACACTCTTTATGTATATGTGAATAATGTATTTCGGTAGTACCTTGAACGGTAGGTATTTCCGTCTAGACTGCACGTATAGATGTATACGATGCTGATTGTATATGGGCCGGCAATGAACAACAGTGAACTGCTTCATGGAAGTTAATACGTTATGCACGTGCCGAGACACAGTCTCCCCCGAATGTTGGAACCGTTCTTGGATTTCCCGATTTTGCTTCCCTTTCAACACATGGATAAACATTGCAACGCTTTCTTCAACAGCTAAACCATGTGGACGTTGCGGGACTTGTAACCCAAAATCATTTACTAATGTTTCACACAGGGCGAGAAAAACTTCCTTCGGCATGGACACGTTTTCCTCAAATCGGCCCATATGGCCAGCATATAGTTCGGATATCTATGCATTCCCGGTCAGTATAGAAGTGCGACATGGCGTTTTAGCTATGTGTTTTTGGTACCACTCTGTCGCATACTGGCATGCTTGTAGAAATGTGCAGTTGTGTTCTTGTTGCACCTAGACTACCATTTGATTAAGCATTTTCGTTATTCCCTTGTTGTAGCTTCCATCCTAGGGATTCATTACGTCTTCGTTGATGCGAAACCTACAAGAGTGGCACTGTTTCAATCAGTTTGCTTCCCCTTCATCGAGTCAATTAATTTCAAAATTTGCAATTACAAAATTTGAAATGTTGACAACCCAATTTAAGGATTGCCGTCACCAATGTATTTTTTAACGCATAATGATATGCAAAATGGGAAAAACTTGAACCTGCTAAACTTTTGTCATACAAGAGGACCATTGTGGTGACAACCACAAAAGTTGACGTCTAATATGAAACTAACATCGCACTTTGGAAAATATAAACATACACAAAGCTAGCAAACAAATCCGTTGTACCCAATTCTACAAAATATGCATACATTTAATTTGAACAAAAGCATCCCATTCATGTCTCAGAAAAGTGTGCACAACAATGCTTCCATTGTGTCAAGCCATGCACTGAACTAAAAGTTTTGGAAACCATAGGTAGCAAGAAAACACAAAAACGAAGGAAAAAAAAAAACATGCACAGACAACTATCCTGTTTTAATACAGTGCCAACAAAAAACATAAGTAAAAGTTTTTAGAATGCAAGAAAAGGAAAGGCATATTCAACACTCGTAACACCGCTACATCACATCCGGCGAGCCCCGAACAGATTTGCAAAAGGCGCCGACATAGTACACTGGAGCTGCTTCTGGGTAAGCCACCTTATGATTGAGTCGTCATCAGGCTGGCACATCATCACCTCCCGCAAATTGGCGTTATCCATAAGTGATGTGGCGAAGTGGAATAACGGCGTACCAACCAGCGATGTAATACCTATCAGGCGATGCATGCACTCCGAAATAGTAAACAGCGATTCGTTGCTTGTGAGGTGCCTCACCGTAACCTGCTGATTCTTCGTGCTCACGCTCCACTTATTGCCTTCTTGGACTTTGAAACACTACTTGATGGCGTCTTTCTTTTTTTCCCCTTTTCAATCGGAACATGCTCCAATGAAGAATCTGAATCCACGTCCTGTACTCCTGCGGGTATCGGATCAGCATATGGCTGGGCCCCCAAACTGTGCACTGAATCAGATGAGTCATCAGCAGCTTCAGGAAGTTCCTCGCCCGGGGTCCAATGGTGCTTCCCAGTAGCTGATGCCCCCATGAAGACGGTCTCCATCAACTCACGATGTTCTAAGGTTTTTTTTCTAAACTTGGCACACACCTTGTTTATCTGTTCAAATAGAGATATATGAAAGAGAATCATGTTCCATTCCATATAATTAATTAAAATTTAACTACAAAATTTAAAAATATACTGGTAAATAACACATATGAAATATAAGAGTACATGTACTTATCGATTCCATTTTGTCCCACCACTCCTCAGGTGCCTGAAATATGCCGGTGTCACAGTCAAACCCTATCCCTGACACTCCTTTGCTTGAATCCATCAACTTTGTCCACGCTTGCCACTCTTTTTTCAGACGCATGTATTTATTCTTCAACTGTTTGAGTCCATGTTTTCTTCTTGTTTTTCTTTCAAATTTTCTTGCCAAGGACTTGTACCCTGCTTGGCTGAGGAATAGAAATGGGCGATTGCCTTTAGTTATCTTATTCGCAATCAACTGCAGGAAAACTCGGATTGAGGCACTGTCCCATGTGGCCTTGTGGCTTAAATGATTGTGTGTATGTAATGACCCCAAAAGTCATCCTTATTTAATTAGGGGTTAATGTGTTTTAATTCAACTATATCTATTGGAATTGAGAATGTTTTTATCTTATTTTGGGGTATTGATTGAGGTGGTGGTATGATGGTAAAGTAAGATTGGACCAAGGAATATAATCCGGATAGTTATTCTACAATCAGCCGTCACTCATTTGCCCTTTTCTTTTTCTACACTTTGAATTTGAATGTGAGGTTAGAACCATTGGAAAGCTTATTTTCGGGGCTACAATTTGGACACAAGAATGACCTTAAACGGAGTCCGGATGAGAGAGTTACGCCTATTTGAAGTTTTTATATCTGTGCTGGAAGCAGGACCGCACGTGCGGGAAATGCGGCGCACGTGCGGCGATGTGCGGGGCAGCAGTTCAAAAACGTGATTTTTGAGTCATTTCTTAGATTTTCTTTTCCTCTCTTCTTCTTCCCTCTTCCATGTCCGAAACCCTAGCTCCCAAAA